ACAGCTGTCTGGAGCAGGCACAGGCAGCCCCAGGCAGGCTGTGAGCGGCTGCAGTGTGGGGCGTCAGCCACAGGGTGGGCAAGGGGCCGCTTTTCCCCCTCCCTGTGCTCAACACCACCTTGTAACCCAGCCCCACTGCCAGCCTGGGCCCTGCGCTGCCTTGGGCCTTGCCTGTTGGGGCTGCGCATGGCGACAGCAGCTGCGGCCCCCCTGCTTGCCATACCAGGCAGTGTTTGCCACTGTTGCCTCTGGGCTGCCTAGCGCGTGAGCTCTGGGTGGGCAGCACCCAGCCAACACTGCCCAACACGGCAAGCAGGAGGGCTGCAGCTGCTGCCACCGACAGGCGAGCCCAGAGCTGGCTTGGAGCCCAGGCTGGCAGCAGGGCTGGGTTATAAGCTGGTGCTGAGCGTGGGAAAAAGTGGCCCCTCACTTGCCCCATGGCTGGCGTCCCACACTGTAGCCACTTGCAGCCCACGTGGGGCTGCCTGTGCCTGCTCCAGACAGCCCCACACGGGCTGCGAAAGCCTGCAGCAGGGACGCCGGCCACGGGGCTGGCGAGGGACTGCTTTTCCCCATGCTCAGCACCAGCTTCTTCCCTGCCGGCGAGCAGGGGGTCAGGGCTGTGCGCTATCCCCTGCCTGTACTGCGGGGCTGGGGGACACTGGGTATGAGTGGGCGTGGGAGCCAGTGGGAACATGGGGCCCACAACAGTGTCCCGGGGCCAGTGCCAGCAGGGCCCAGAGCAGGGTGGCAGGAGCATGGGGTCCCAGCTGGCAGGAGCTCTATGAAGACGGGCCAGCTTCCCTCTCCCTGCTGGTGCATCCCAGCCTGGCTCCACAGACCCCTGCCAGCCTGCACCCTGCTTTGGGCCCCAACGGTGCTGGCCGTGGGACATTGGTCCCAAGACATTGGGACATTGGTCCCAAGATAGTGACCAGGGGGAGGGACACCTGTCAAGGGGCAGGGCTATCCAGCTTGCCAAAACTGGGTAAGTGACCCTCTGCCCGAAATCATTGCCCGCCCCTGGGTTAGGGTCTGGCCCCATTGTGATTCCACATTTATGGGATTTCTTCAGTAAAAAGGCTGGGGTGGAGTGGGGTGGGGGTTGGTTGTCTGGCTGAAGGGCAAGGAATTGCTGCGACTTGGAGCTCTTGGGGCTGGGTAGTCTTTTCTCTCTCCCTGCAAGGTGGGTGAAAAACCTGTTTCTGAACCTGAGCTGGGTGCAACTAGATTGGAGTTATGACAGAGTAAGAATAACCTGTTTTAAACCTCTGGGGTGCTACTATTGTTTCCTGGGAGGCAAGGAGGGCGTGGGAGGGGTAAAGGAGGGACAGAGAGAGCCCTAGGGACAGAGAGAGCCCTAAGGCCGTGCAAACTGCAGCTGCACTGGGTGTTCCAGAGAAGCAGGAGCCCTGGGAGTGGCTGTAATAAAGTAATAATAAAAAGACATTGCCCTCCAGGATCAGCTATTTTATGAAGCTCTGAAAGCACTGGAAAGTTGAAATTATTTAATTCCCCGTGAGGAAGAGAAGCACCTGCCCCATTCAGCAGGTTGAGAAAGAGGCATAGGGCTGTAGTGAGTTACCCAAGGTCACACAAATCAGTGGCAGAGCTTGGAACAGAGTCCAAGCTGTGACCGTTAGTCCTCTGCTCTAGTTTAGTCACTCCTCACTATGTGTCCTGATTTGAAGCTGGAGATGAGGAAGGAGTAAGAATGGCAAGAACAGCAGTGAAGAGAGAGGAAAGAAAAGCAGAGAATCAGTCCTTCCCTTAAAATGTCAAGATGGCTTCAAAGGTGGCCAGGTGTGCGCAATGCCTGCCCGGCAATAGGAATAGTGCTTGCAAAACAGCAGTGACTCAGCACCAAGTTCTTCCGGGAAGTGCCCCAAGGTCAGAAAAGACACTGGGCTTTCACTCCAGTTGTCAGGTGTACTGGACAGAGAAGAGGCTATGAAATGGCCTACTATGCCAGTCCATCAGGGGCCCTGGTTACTGCCTCCTTCAAGCCTGGGAGTATTGCCAGCACCACCTGCCCCAGATTACCCCTTTCTTGAGTATCTTGGGGGGTAATTATCTAAGTCGCCACAAATGGGTCAAGCCTTACTTCCCTCCAAGATACATCCTGCCACTTGGGGCACAGAGCTGTGATCTCTCCTCATTTTAGGCAATGGATTTACCCACCAATTGTCAGCCCTTGGACAGAGTCTGTATAGTCATCACAAGAAGACATTAGTGATTTCTTTTTTCCTCTATATGTTATATTCACCTATAGGATTAATCTCAGTCTGGCATGAGCAACAGGACCCAGAGCTTGCTTTCCTATGCTGCAGCTTACCCAGATCCTTTTTAGCAGCAGAGTAATTAGTGCTCCCCACGGCTGGTACTCCAGGGCAGCATGACTCTTCACTGTCCTCTCCTAGCCTTCTTTCTTTCTATCCTCTAGGACGCAGAGTCCTCCACTCACATTTACCTCCCTCCATTTCTCCCTCTTCCTGCTGTGAGCTTGTGTAGATGCCTCTGGTTGAAATGATCAAAGTCTGGTTTGGGGCTCAGCCCTTCTTTAATGAGTCAGTGGGCGTACCCACACATGCAGGCATGTGTGGTTGCAGCAGCTCAAAAAAGAGTGGCGCAAATTTGTGGTGGGGATTTTTGGTTCAGCACACATGCCTGAACATGCACTTTGGTGTGGGGCAAATGGTGCCACTTGGGGCAAAATAACCCTGCCCAGCTCCTCCCGGATCTTCTGCCAGGGGGAGCTATAGGCCACAAGTGCTGGTCCCAGCAATATAAAAACCTGCCCTGACAAGCAGCTCAGGGCTACTTGCCCTCAGAAACTTCAGAAGTCCCCCTCTGGCAAACTTCTTTTCACATTTTGAACCTATAACCCCCATGTTACACCTACCCTTTTCTTCTTTAGTTGTCCCACAAAAAAATAAAATAAAAAAAATACTTGTATCTTTCAAACTTTGGCCCCCACACAGTAAAGGTGGCTGTTAGGTAACTAGGTGGGCCTTAAGGCCCACAATCTCTGGAAGATACAAATAGACAGGAGTTTCAGAGGCCCAGCCACTTGGTATCTGGCAACACTAACCCTTGTGCCAGCTGGACTGCTGAAGCAGCTCTAACCTGGAATAGCCCCTGTACCCTCTACCCACTGCAGCAGTCTGGCACTAGGGGCTGCTGCTTGGCTGTGACCTGCTGTGCACCTGTGACATCATTCCTACTTTTGGACCTGTGGCCCCATAGCTACATGCCTGCCAGACCTGGACGGGGACTACACAGGTGTCTAGGCTGTGGCATGGGCACTACAGCAGAGCCTCCTGCAACTCTGGACCAGCTGCTAGTGGGCCATGGCTACACATCTGGCCACTGGGCAGCACTACTGTCATGTCTCCTGGTGCCCCAACTGCCATCTGGGCAGCTATCACTCAGAAGATGTGCTTCTTGCAGTGGCCCACTTTGAACTGACAAAGCAAGTCCTCTTGGTCCCAAATGGCCAAGAGGTCAGCCACCTCATCTGCCCTCCATCTGGCTCCCTAGTGCTGGCTCTGGACAGGCTCCTTTGCCCAGGTCTTGCCACTTGTCTCAGTAGAGATCCTGGTGTTCCCTGCTTAAAAATTACAGATGCTCTGATAAGAAATCCAAATTCTCTCATTAAAATACCCAAAATCTGTGTTCTTTCACTAGTAAAATGAAATGCCACTATAGAGAGATCCATTGGGCAATGTTTTATTGATATATTTACAAGCTTAAAGCAATTTGGAAGCCTACCAGTGCCTCTATCATCATAATAAAATATATTCTAAATATCTATACACTTTGGCATTTACTTTTGGGTTTTTTGTCATAGAAAAATCAGAGCTGCCCCTTGCTCACCAGGATGTGTGGCACTGAGCAGTACTGATATGCCAGTGCCCTGCCCCCTCACTCTCAATCCACAGCCCTCCCCCCGCCAGTCCCCTCACTCCTGACCCACAGCCCCCGCCTGCCCCCACTAGCTCCCTCCCAGCATCAGCTCTGTCCCAGCACCAGGGCAAGTCCAGCTGCAGCTGTCCCTCCCACTCCTTTGTGGCTTTGAGCAGTGCCAGCCCTTGTTGTTCTGCTCCCTGTCCCTTGGGAAGCCCTTGACTGGGGATCAGGGACTGAGCTGGCCCCTTTGCTCCCAGGACGGCCTCCCCCTGCACAGGCTACTCTAGGGGGGCAGGAGGGGCTCTAAGCCTGGCTCTGGCAGCCTCTCCTACCCAGACCACTCCCCCCAACCCCCATCTCTCACACACCCCTGCTGCCACCTCCACCCCTCCTACCAGCACATCACCCCTTCAAATGATTCCTGGGACCAGGTCCTCCCCTCCCCCCCAGCTGGGGCCACATGTCCCAGCACTGGTGTGTAGCAGTTGCCCCTGCAGCAGCAGCTCCCACCAGCAGGTCCTGTCCCATCTCATGTGGCTGGCTGGACATGCAGGGTGTGAGATTTGGGGGGGGGGGGTTGGGGGGAAGGGATGTGGGTGTGTGTAGGGGTGTGCAGGGCCAGGTATAGATGCACCCAGTGTCACTTTCTGGATTCTAGCATTTCAGCCAAGTAGGGAGCAGAACATGCCCCCTTAACGATCCTCATACTGTGTTGCAGGGAAACACAGGCTGACCCTGAGCAGTCTGGGCCCTCTAATCAGGGCTGTCCTGTGCATTGCTGCCGTCTGTCTCCGGACAGACTGAGGGAGCCTACAGAGCTTGGTGAGATGTGTGCACAGAGGATCCCTGGCTGTGTAGCATCAGCAGTGCAAGCTCTCTGCTCTTCAGGGGTGTCTGTTCAGGCATCTCTGGGTAAGTTTTTCTACCAGGAGATGAATTCTCCCAGAATATTTGTATGTAGCCTAAACCATTTAAGCTAAGTATCTGTCTAACTAACTCTTGAAAATATCCTGAGTTCTTAGAACCAAGGGTTGCATTTTTCCTTGATCAGGCAAAATTGGCTGCACTGGTTTGTTTCTTTCTCTTTGCAGCACTGGCAACTGCTCATGGTTCCACTGTAACTGCACCTGACAAGGAAGTAAAGGTGGCACGAGGGAATAATGTCACTCTCAGATGTGAATTCCGGACTGCTGGTACTGCTGAAAGTGGAGACTTTGTTTACTGGAGGAAAATCCAGACAACGGTAAATTGTGACATGTAACACCAATCACTCAGCCCTCAGGGGAGTGGGAAGGAAGGTCTTAGTTCTAGGTCCAAGTCTGCACAGACTCACTGAGTGATCTCAGTCAGTGTCATTCTCTTTCCTTATATGTGTAAAGGGATACTATGTTACTGTAAGCATAAATAAACTACCCATTATGAGATGCTCAGATATTGCAGTGATAGGTTGTAACAGAGCACAAGTTGTGCTCTGTTACTCACAGGGTGTGAGCAGACAACAAAGCAGTTTGCAGGTGGCTGCACTTCCAATCAGGCCCAGCTGTTCCTTATAAGAACAGGGCTCTGGGCAGCAAAGCCAGCACCCTGCTGCAAGCAGCCAGGAGAAGAACACCACCTGAGTGGAGCTGCTGCTGCTCATGCCATCTTGGAGGTACAGGGAAGGAGCTATGGGGAAAGTGGAAGCTCCTGATCCCGGGGAATAGCCTAAAACTACACCCTGCTGGGGAGGATGCTGTGGTGGGACTGCCTGTGGCAGGGCAGTCCTCAGGAAATGCCACACATGTGCCTCCCTAGTGAATGGAGAGTATAGGTGCTGAGAAAAAGCCTCAGCCCCCACTGCTTTGTGGGTTACCCATGGAGGGGAAAGGCTAGGGGAGCACAGCACAAAGTCATAGCAGGAGCCTAGGCTCGCAGTGAGTCCTGAGGTAGGTCCCAGGTCAAGAGGGGACCTGAGGCAGCTTCCAGGCTCACTGTGAGTCCTGAGTTGCATTAAGGGAGCTGGGTGTGAGACTCTAGGGGGGTGGGGTCCTGAGCCTACGGGGAGCTGGTTGTGAAGGGTCTGGGGCAAGGGATAAGGGGACTGTGAGGCCCAGTATTGGGTAGGGGATGAGGCCCCAGTGTAGGGTCATGAGGGAACCAAAAGGGTCCTGAGCCAGGTGATCCCAAAGAACAGGGAGGGGCTGAGAGCTGTGATGGACTGAGTGGCTTGGTGTTAGGCTAAACAAGTTATAGGACAGGTGTTAGGCCATGGATGCCATCTGCAAGGGATGGGACACAGTAGAGGGAAGGATGGAACCATGTATATAGGCTCTTGGCATCAGGGCATGTATATTGGCAGTCTCCTGTGTGAGTATCGTCTTCCAATCAGTACCATCACGGTGTGGCAGGAAAGGTAGGCGGGTGATTAGCTGTACGACAAGTGGGCAGGCCAACAATTTGACCGGCCCCAGGACACCCATTTGTTACATGGGTGTAAAACTTCACATTAGGACTGTCAAAAGATAAAAAAATTAATTACAATTAGTTGTGACTTTTTTTTTTAAACGCCCAATTAATTGCTATTTTAATCGCACAGCTAAAAATGAAAAACTATGCGCAGAAAAACTCAGTTATGCAAAATTATGCAGATACTTTGTATGGTGGGGTGTGTGTGAGGGGGCTGTGGTGTGTGTGTGTGTGGGGTTTGGAGCCCAGAGAGAGGGGTTCCTGCATACCCTGGCAGGATGTGGGGTACTGTGGGTCAGGAGGGAGGAGCAGCAGCAGGGCTGGAGGGGCTGTGGCTTAGGAGTTTGGGGCAGGAAGACACGCACACACTACCCAGCAGGTAAGTGTGTGGGAGGGAAAGGGAGGGGAAGATCAAGGCCCTCATGGTGTGGGAGGGAGTGGAGCAGGGGCAAGGGTAAGGCAGAGACATGGGCCCTGGGACCATGGCAGATCATAGGATATAACTGCAGGTGGTTTGTTTAGGGGTTACAGGGGGGAGCTGCTCCCACTGCTGTGTCCACCCCAGGGGGAGGCATGGGGGGCACATGTCCCCCAGATCTGTGAGAGATGGAGGTGGGTTGCCGCAGTGCACTGGGCTCTGCACTGCTCTGCCATCGCCCCAGGAGCCGCGTGATTCCATGCTGTACCTCCTGCTACCCGGCGGGGAAGGGACGCGGTGCAGCACCCCTTGCGCAAAGGCAGTAGGGTGCAAAGTCCCAGTCTGCAGCAGCAGCCCACCTCCACCCTGTACACATCCAGGAGGCACGTGCCCTAAATGCCTCCCTCAGGGTGCACAGAGTGGGGGATCCACCTACACCCCTGGACAAGCTGCCTGAGGCTCCATCCCACAACCCACTCCGGCCCTGGGGCCCCATTCACCCCAGCCCCTGCCCTAGCTCCAGCCCCAGTCCCACTCCTTCCCTCACCATGGAGGCTTTGATCTGCCCCCTCATGCCCTTTTCCTCTCACAGAATTGCCTGATGGGCAGTGTTTCATATGCCACCAGGCTGCCTTACTAGTTGCCTGCAGGCTGTGGCTGCTTGTTTTTGTCTGTGTACGCCCCTCCCCCTGCTGCCGCCACCCAGAGCTCATGCTTGGGCTGCTCTGCAGTCCTATGTGCTGCTACCGCTGCCCCATGTGGTGAGCCAAAGGTGGTGGTGACAGCAGTGGAGTGGAGCTCAGGTGCAGGCTTCAAAACCATGTGTGCAATTAACATGTTAAAAAAATTAACACAAATGATTAACACATTAATTGCAAACATTAATCATGATTAATTGACAGCTCTACTTTAAATTTAAAAAAAAATTAAGACTTTGAAATAAGTTGCAAAGAGGGTTTCCTTGGATTTTGCAGTGTTGAGGTTTCTGGGGTGCCCTTCTTCTCAAGGAGGATTTGAATTTGAAAAGGTCTTTAGAGTTCTCTTGGGAACACAGTAGAGGCAAAGCAGGTTCTGGGTATCTCCTCCCAGTAACTGGAGCCTCTGGAGGTCTCCCACAATTCATAGAATCATAGAAAATTTGGGTTGGAAGGGACCCCAGGCAGTCATAGAGTAAACAACCCCCTGCTTAAAGCAGGACCAGCCCCAACTAGATAATCTCAGCCAAGGCTTTGTCAAGCTGGGTCTTAAAAACCCTGAAGGATGGAGATTCAACAACCTCTCTGGGTAACCTGTTCCAGTGCCTTACTACCTTCCTTGTGAAGTTTTTTTTTTTTTTTTTTTCCTAATATCCAACCTAAACTTTCCTTACAGCAATTTCAGCCCATTGCTGCTTGTTCTGTCATCTGTCACCAATGAGAATAGTTGAGCTCCATTGTCTTCAGAGCCACCCTTCAGGGACTCAAAGCCTGTTATTCAATCCCCCCACAGTCTGCTTTTCTCCAGTCTACATAATCCCAGTTCCCTCAGCCTCTCATAAATCCTGTTCCCCAGCCTCCTGACCACTTTCATTGCCATCTGCTGATCTCTAATTTGTCTGCATTTCTTCTGTAGCAGGGGTCCCAAAACTGGAGACAGTACTCCAGATGTGGCCTCACCAGTGTAGTGTAGAGGGGAATAATCACTTCCCTCAATCTGCTGGCAACGCTCCTGCTAATGCAGCTCAGTATGATGTTTGCTTTCTTCCTAACAAGGGCACACTATTTGCTCATATTCAGCTTATTGTCCACTGTAACCCCCAAGTCCTTTTCTGCAGAGCTGCTGCTTAGCCAGTCAGTCCCCAGCCTGTACTGGTGCATGGGATTGTTCAGTCCTAAATTCAGGACTTTGCACTTGTCCTTATTGAACTTCATGAGATTCCTTTTGGTCTAATCCTCCAATTTCTGAGTCTCTCTGAATCCTAGTTCTACCCTCCAGCATGTCTACCACTCCACCTAGCTCCACTCTAGCCCCAAACTTGCTGAGGGTGCACTCTCTCCCATCTTCCAGATAGTTGATGAAAATATTGAACAAAACTGGCCCCAAGACCAATTCCTGGGCACTCCACTTGATACCAGCTGCCAACTAGATACTGAACCATTGATTACTATCCTCTGAGTCTGATGACCCAGTCAATTTTCTGTCCACCTTACAGTCCATTTATCCAACACAAACTTCCTTAGCTTGCTCATGAGAATGCTGTGGGAGACTATATCAAAACCACTGCTTGCCCCTCATCTGCAGAGGCAGTCATCTCATCATAGAAGGCAGTCAGGTTGGTCAGGCATGACATGCCCTTGGTGAATTCTTGCTGACCTGTTCCTGATCATCTTCTTCCCCTCCAAGTGCTTAGAAATGAATTCCTTGAGGACCTACTCCATGATTTTTCCAGGGATTGAGATGAGGCTGACTGGTCTGTGGTTTGCTGGATCCTCCTTCTTCCCTTTCTTAAAGATGGGCACTGTATTTGTCCTTTTTCAGTCATCTGGGACCTCTCCTCTTTGCTACAAGTTTGCAAAGATAATGGCTGGCAGGTCTGCAATCACATCAGCCAACTTTTTCAGTACCCTTGGGTGCATCACATCCTGCTCCATGGACTTGTACACGTTCAGCTTTTCTAAATAGTCCCTAACCTTTTCTTTTGCCATTATTGGCTGCTCCCCTCCTTTCCAAACTGTGCTGCCAGGTGCAGTAGTCTGGGAGCTGACCTTGCCAATGAAATCTGAGGTGAAAAGGGCATTGAGTACTTCAGCATTTTCTGCATTCTCTGTCACTAGGTTTTGACTCCCCCACTCAGTAAAGGACCCACACTTTCCCCGATCTTCCTCTTGTTGCTGGCATATTTGTAAAACTCCTTCTTGTTACCCTTCACGTTCCTTCAACTACAATTGTGTTTGTGCCTTCCTGATTTCCTCCCTGCAAGCCTCAGTAATACTCTTTTATACTTCTTTCTAATCAGTTGTCCAAGTTTCCACTTCTTGTAAGCTTTCTTTTTGTGTTTTAGCTCATTGAAGAGTTTCCTGCTAAGCCATGCTGGTCTTTTGCCATATTTGCTAGTCTTCCTGCACATCAGGACGGATTGTTCCTATGCCCTCAGTAAGGTTTCTTTAAAATACCACAAACTCTCCAGGACTCCTTGCCCTCATAGACTGGCTTCTCTCTTCTTTTCCAGTTTCCTCTATATGTACATAGCAAAAGGTAAGAATCATAGAAAGCTAGGGTTGGAAGGGACCTCAGGAGGTCATCTAGTCCAACCCCCTACTCAAAGCAGGACCAATCCCCAATTAGATCATCCCAGCCAAAGCTATGTCTAGCCAGGTTTTGAAAACTCCCAAAGTTGGAGCTTTCACCACTTTTCTGTGTAATCTGTTCCAGTGTTTTACTACCCTTCTAGTGATAATTCTTGCTAATATCTAACCTAAGCTTCCCTTGCTGCAACTTGAGACCATTGTTCCTTGTTCTGTCATCTGCCACCACTGAGAATAGCTTAGCTCTATCCTCTTTCAAACCACACTTCAGGTAGTTGAAGACTGCTAATTAAGTCACCTCTCAGTCTCCTTTTCTCTAGACTAAATAAGGCCAGTTCCCCCAGCCTTTCCTTATAAATCATGTCCCACAGCCCCCTCACCATTTTTGTTGCTCACTGCTGGACTCTTGCCAATGTGTCCATCCTTTTTTGTAGTTCAAAACTGAACACACTACTCTAGATGTGGCCTCACCAGTGCCGAATAGAGGGGAATAATCACTTCCCTGGACCTATTGGCAACACACCTACCAATGCAGCCCAGTATGCTGTTAGCTTTCTTTGCAACAAGGGCACACTGCTGGCTCATATTCAGCTTATTGTCCACTGTGAGCCCCAGGTCCTTCTCTGCAGAGCTGCTGCCCAGCCAGTCAGCCCCCAGCCTGTACTGGTGCATGGGACTGTTCCATCCTAAGTAGAGGACTTTGCACTTATCCTTGTTGAACCTCATGAAACTTCTTTTGGTCCAATCTCCAATTTATCTAGGTCACTGAATCCTAGCCCTACCCTCCAGTACTACTCCTCCCAGTTTGGTATCATCTGCAAACTTGCTGAGGGTGCCCTCTATGTCATCTTCCAAGTGACTGATGAAGACATTGAACAAAACTGGCCCCAGGACCGACCCCTGGGTGACTCCACTTGATACTGGCTGCAAACTAGACATTGAGCCATTGATTACTACTTTCTCCCAATGTTCCAGCCAGTTTTCTATCCACCTTACAGTCCATTCATCCAGCCCATACTTCCTTAGCTGGCCTGCAAGAATGTTGTGGGAGACTGTATCAAAAGCTTGCTAAAGTCAAGGTACATCCACTGGTGTCTCCCTGCATCCAACAGAGCCAGTCACCTCATCATAGAAGGCAATCAGGATGGTCGGGCATGACTTGCCCTTGGTGAATCCATGCTGACTGTTCCTAATTGCCCTCTTCAAGTGCTTAGAAATGGATTCCTTGAGGATCTGCTCCATGATTTTTCCAGGGATCGAGGCAGTGCTTACTGGTCTATAGTTCCCTGGATCTTCCTTTTTTGCCCTCTCTCAAATATGGGCACTATGTTTGCCCTTTCCCAATCATCTGGGACCTCTCCTGATTGCCATGAATTTTCAAAGATGATGACCAACAGCTCTGCAATCATATCATCCAACTCCCTCAGCACCCTTGGGTGCATCTCATCTATCCCCATGGACTTGTACATATTCAGCTTTTCTGAGTAGTCCCTAATCTGTTCTTTAACCACTGAAGGTTGCTCATCTCCTCCCCAAACTGTGCTGCCTGGTGCAGTAGTTTGAGAGCTGACCTTGCCTGTGAGACGGAGGCAAAAAAGGCAGTGAGCACTTCAACCTTTTCTGCATCCTCCGTCACTAGGTTGCCTCTCCTGTTCAGTAAGGCACTTACACTTTCCCTGATCCTCCTCTTGCTACCGCCATATTTGTAGAAACCCTTCTCATTACCCTTCATATCCCTTGCTAGCTGCAACTCCAATTGTGCCTTCCTAATTTCATCCTTGCATGCCCGAGCAATGCTCTTATATTCTTCCCCAGTTATTTCTTCAAGTTTCCACTTCTTATAACCTGCCTTTTTGTGAGTAAGTTTACTGAAGAGTTCCCTGCTAAGCTAATCTGTTTTTCTACCATACTTGGTAGCTTTTCTGTGCATTGGAATGGTTTCTCCCTGCACTCTCAGTAAGGCTTCCTTTAAAGTACAGCCAGCTCTCCTGGACTCCTCTTCCCCTCAGCCTGGCTTCCCAGGGGATCATGCCCATGAGTTCCCTGAATGAGTCAAAGTCTGCTTTTCTGAAGTCCAGGGTCCTTACTCTGACATTTGATTTCTTCTTCTTTCTCTCTTACAGCACGAAGCTATCACTAGGTATTTTGATGGCTTTATAAGACATGGTGCAAGCTACAAGGACCGTATATATTTCTCTGGGAACCCAGACACAGGTGACCTCAGCATCACCCTCACAGAGGTGACTATGGACGACAATGGAACTTATGTGTGTGGTGCTCACCTGCGTATGGAGACCGTTGAACCTGCCCATGTGGCTCTTTTGGTCCTTGGTAAGGTGTTGTATTCCCTGAACTAGCACTGACCCAATGCCCCAGTGATAGTACTAAGCAGCAAGTGACTTGGTGTTGGTGACTCGGTAGACCATCCTTTGAGCTGGTACTTATTCAATACCACAGGGTAAAACAGGAATGAGAATGCTACCCATGTACCTTTTTTATTTGGAGAAGAGCATAAGCCATCCTCTTCACACATAGAATTAAGTAGCAGTGAACCAAGGGAAGAGTTAACATGTGTTGACTGGAGAGGGAGTGTATACCACCTCACATGTTAGAAAGGCAAAACTCTAGAACTCTTGGTTCTGAGACGATACCTTTTTTAAGACCAGCTAAGAAATTGCAATTTTTGCAATTTCTTAGTTGGTCTTAAAAAAGGTATCACCTCTGAACCAAGAGTTCTAGACTTCTATATTTCTTTCTTTGTCTCAGACCAATATGGCAAGCAAATATATCCACCTCACGTGAGCATTCATTCCTGAACGGGGGAGCATGTTCTTGGAGGGAAAGGCAAAAAGTAGCAAAGAGCACAAAGAAGAAAGAGAAACAGAAGAGGAAAAAAAAGAGAGAAAAAGAAGCAATTCCATCTTTCAGAGGATTGTATGAGTAGGGCCAGCACTTGTTCAGGAAAAACCATGCAGGTGCAAGGGACAGGTCAGAAAGGAAAAGGACTCAGCAGCTCACATATGTATTGGTATACAGCATTGCATTTGCTCAGGTCCCTGTACCTTTTTTTTTTTTCCTAGTGGCACCCTCCATACCAGACTGTGCGATCCACGGGACACCAGAGTACGGACAGACAGTCAACCTGACCTGCAACTCTCGTGAAGGTTCTCCAAAACCTGTGTATACCTGGAAGAGTTTCAACATGCAGAACCAGCCTCAGCCACTGCAGGCAACAGAAGGTATAGGAGGCACAAAAAGCCTTTTCTGTCAGGCCATAGCGCACTGCATGAACATGGGGATTTGAAACTCTTGGGATTGCTAGTTCACCTAGGGCTCTGTAGATGGTCCTTTTAAAAATGAGGACTTTTTAGAAGTTGCTTTCCTGTGGTGCACTGGCCAGCTACAGTAGCAATGGCAGAATAAGTCTCTCCCATCTAACTCAGTGAAGCCCATGTCAGAACCAGCCAGAAGTCATAGATCTTGATGACCTGGGGCTGTGTGAAATAACAAGTGGGTTTTGGTTACTTATTTTCTGTATCATAACCCAACACAACTGACTCATTCCTTAATGAAACTACCATCTGTGAGGTCAAAGAGTGAACTGGCCAGAAATTTACTACTTTTTCCTTTATAGGTAATACTCAATGTTCAGGCTGATGGAGGGTGGCATGAGGAAAATGGTGAATATTCAGAAGCCTTTTCTATCTAGGCTTTGCACCTAGCATAAAATACAAATGTTAAAGTAAATATATAAGCAGTGCCTGGGAAAGAAGAACTGCTTTCTTAAGAATTAGAAGCAGGGAGGACTTTCTCAAAAGGAAATGATAATATAGCAGCCTCTGAAGTGCAAGCAATGAATAGGAGGTAGTGACATAAACGAGGCCCTTTAGATTTATTCCCAGATGCTCCCATTGGTTTCTTTTTTTGTTCACCTCCAGAAATACTAAGCATGTGCATTTTGATCTATTCTTATGGCACTGGGTGTGCAGATGAGATATAATTTGATCCAGACTGGGCAGGGCATTAATCCTCACTGCACAACATCTGTTTAAACTGCCAAGGAGGAAATCCACATAGAACATATACATCCAGTTCACCTGACTGGTCACTAGGTGGTGCTACTGCATCAGAAATCATGAACATGATTTATTTTCTAAAAAGAACAAACCACTCGGGGCTTCTGCCTTGCACTCTTCCTCCCCAGGAGTAGGCATTTGGTCCAGTCTACCTTTGCTTGATATTGATTTTTCAGGGCAGGGGAATTTGTTGTCTGTTAGAGGTGCAGAAGGGTGCCCTCTATTGGGTCTGGCAGCAAGAGGCACACAGTATCATTGTGGTGTGCATTTGGACTTCCCTTGGGATCCATCCCACCGATTCTGGTGCTGGTGGGACACTTCTCATCTTTCTGGTCTGGAGTAGGCCTTTTCAGCTCAGCTTATAGGATAGCCACTCTCAGTTTATTTTGAGAGTTGCAACCCAGCACCACACTGTGACTTTCAAAGCTGGAAACGTCATGCTGTCAAAGGAAGCAGCAGTCCAAGCCTACTGAGGAAAGGGCGCAATGCATCAAAAATGTGAAGGTCTGACGTTAATTTGGTCTTGCAGCCTTTTATGCCATCTGGCCACTAGCTGGCAGCAGAGATATGGGCAACAGTGGCCAAATAGCTGAAATCAGGGCAGAAGGCTAAAAATAAAGGTGGCAATATCTGTCAAATGCAAGGGTAACATCCCATTATGGAGACAGCACTCCATGTGAGAGATGTGGAGGTGTCAGTTAAGACATTCAGACTCACCACAGCTCCTTTAAACAATGGGGAGATAGACTTTTATCTGTGAATCGTTTCAAGGTGGCTCTGCCATCTAGGTGGAAACAGCTTGGGTAAAGGCAGAAGGTAGGGCAGATGGCACCTTAAAGGCTGGTTCAGAGAGGCATGAGCTTCTGCTGGTGCAGCCCACTTTGTCAGGTGATAAATTAAATACGCTGCAATTAGCACAGGGTGAAGTTACATTACTAAAGGCACCTAAAACACAAGCATCTGTATGTGAAAGCTTGTTAACTTGCGCTAAGTGCCCCCTCCAAGTTACACCACTTCAGAAGAGGGTTAACTTTGGCCTGTGCTACCTAGCTTGTGTTAGGGTAACTGCCACCTGCTCCATGGAGATTAAACAAGCAATTTGCAGTCCTCCAGCATCCCAGGATGCACCACTTTGTTCCTCCTCCTACCTAGAGCCTAGTTATCCTGATTTCTACCTATACCCCTGTTCACCAGCCTTCTAGTGACAAGTCAGAACTATGCAGGCAAGAAACAGTATTAACCTTAATGTGGGACTGCTCACAGCAAGTTCTAACTTTAACACCACTTAACATGCTGCAGATTTAGTACGGTCTAAGTGTAACTTGTAACTTCACCCTTACAGATGTACACAGAGGTGGGGGGGGTGGGGAGGAATGGGACTTAGCACATTTATTTTGAATACTTCACAGGTACTTAAAGCAGGACAAGGGACCCATACTCACTGTCAGAAGGCAGGGGTGGGCAAAATATGGCCTGTGGGCCAGATCCAGCCTGCTAGGCCATTCTACCTGGCCTGCCCCTAAAAAATTTAGAAAATATTTATTTGCTCCTGGCTGCTTGTCAAAGACGACAAGAGCCAGGGGCAGTAGGAAACAGGGGGAGCTATCAGTAGGATGCAGGCAGCCCAGACTCACCCTGCTCCCAGCTATTTCCCTGCCTTCCTGCCCCCGCACTGCTCTAGCACCACATAGCTCCCAGCTGCATTGCCAGAGCATGGGGCCTGTACCAGTATGGAGGGGAGGGGTGGTATAAGGAGGGACACTGTGTGTGTGTGTGTGTGTGTGTGTGTGTGTGCACACATTTGTAGGGTGAGTCCCACATGCACACCCTACCATACACATGCACCCACACATACCCTTTGCAGACCCCTCCACACACATCCCCTCACAAACCCCATACTCTCCCATACCCCACTTATCCACACACAGTTTCCTCACCCTATGCCTATCCACCTCCTCCCCCACACACCCACAGCTCCCCACAAACCTATACCCATCCCCCATAATATACAAGAGTAAGACTTCATTTTAAGCTATTGTGTAATCACCTCTGTGCACTACACAAACTCCTGTAAATCAGGACAAAAATATTATTTGAAATCAAATTAATGAATGTTTTAGATGTTTGCTTCTTCAAAGGTAACTTGGTATTTTTCTGGCTTGGAAATAGCAAAACCCCTTGCTGAAAGGAGTATATTTGGGGGCAAGGGGAGGGACTTCTGGTGGCTAAGATCAGGGGTTAGGGAGTGGGACTTCCAGTCACAAGATGGTGACCAGGACGCAGGGCACCTGTCAAAGGGCAGGGCTGCCCATGCAGCCCTCGACAGCTTGCCAAAGCTCAGTAAGTGGCCCTCCACCCAAAATAATTGCCTGCCTCTGCTCTGAGGTGCCACCCTGCCCTGCCTTCTGCCTGACTTCAAACTAACATGGCTAATCACCTCTCTAGCTTGACTAAAGTGAGTTTTATATTGGTTTAAGTTAATACACTTACTCTTATAACCAAGCTCCAGTATGTTAGGGGAAGAGGCGGGTGGGGAATGTGTGGCTTTCTTGTACTGCCTGGTAAATAGGTTTCTCCCCTATATTATTTACATAGCCAAAATGGACTTTTACCTGACCTACCTAGCCAGGAAAGTTCCCCCAGTATCCCCCTCGTGCTAGATAAATTCCAGCATGAAATCCAAAGAGCTGCTAGATGAAGAAACCCCATTGTACTAAAAGCATCAATTTGCTTGATGGTCATTCTTCCTGATTGTGTCAGCTGCCAAAACTGTTGACAGTGCCATATTTTGTGCCATAGCACACGAGGCCACAGGCAGAGAAAAGTGGAAAAGACCAACCTCTGCTAAATGTTCACCATCTTAGCCCTACCCACACTTTCATTGCTAAAAAGAAAAATCTGAATGCCACCTACTTCTGGTGACCAAGGGGCACATCTCTAATTATCCAGTTTCATTAGGAACTGTCTGGAAGCTGCCAAACTAAACACCTGTGAGCCACAAAAACAAGTCATTACTCGTAACAGCTTTTCATTACTCCCACCCGAACTCAATTTGAACTTGCAGCTGAGAAAGGAAGGGTTCCTTCCTCCTATTCCCTTCTATGATCTAAACCCCTCCACTTTTCTTTCTGGGTTTGTGTTTTCCAACAGGACAGCAGATAACTTTAAAGAACGTCTCTGCAGAAACCTCTGGTTTTTACATCTGTACTTCTACAAACAGTATTGGACACCAGTTCTGCAACATTACTGTCAACATTATGCCTCGTAAGAGTCTTGGCTACTGGTAACTTTTCAGGGTGGTATTGGAAAGCGTGTTCAGGCTACAAGGCAAGCAGGGGACTACAGGGGGACCACTACAGGGACAAGTAAAAATGTAAAATCCACCCCCTCAAGGAACTACTCTGTCTCAGAGCTCCACAAAAATTTCACTGTTTTGATTGAAGCCCTCATGTTTAGAGCTGTCTATAATAACTGTCAAATCGTAGAAAAGTAGGGCTATAAGGGACCTCGGGAGATCATCTAGAGGAGTTCTGCGTTAAGGTGAAGTGGGCTGGATGAGCGGTGCAGGTCCCATCCATGGACCAGATCAGACCCCATGCACCAGGGTTGGGGCCTGTGCTGCTGGATGAGGCCCTGCATTGCCTCCCTCATCTCCTTTTCACAGAATTGGGCACATCCTGCCTCCATGGAGCTCTGCACTGCCTCCCTCAGTTCTATGCCACCTCCCTGGGGATCTAAGCCCCGTCCCTTGGCTCTATACTACCTGTACTGCCTCCCTGGGATTCTGCATCCCCTCCCTTGGCTCCATCCTGCCTCCTTAGGGCTTTGCACTGCCCCCCTTCCCCAACTCATTGCCTCCCACCCCACTTCCCTCGGGCTTCATGCCACCTGCCTGGGGTCCTGTATTGCCGCCTCTTGGTTCCATGCTGCAGAATTGGGCCCCACACTGCCTCTAGTTGGCTACTGGACCATGTCCATGTGCTAATCCAGCATGCTATGTGGCCACAGAGCTCCCTGTGGGGCTGGAAGTTTGGCAGCTAGGGGGTAACAATTGCTGCCACTGATCCCCTGCTGCCCACTTTTTGGATCCTTGGACCCCTGCAGGGATGGCATGGCTCTGCAGGCTGGATTTCAACTGCAGGCCAGATCTCACTTGCAGGCCAGAGATTGAACTCCCCTGATCTAGTCCAATCCCTTGCTCAAGGCAGAATCATCCCTATCAAACCCATCCTGCACAAGTGTTTGTCTGGCCTATTCTTAAAAACCTTGGGAGCTACCTCATGCACAACTAATAGGTATAATGCCCCAAACATTCAAAACATCCTAACTGGTCACAGATGAAGCATGGGGATGGGGGCATGTCAATATCCTTTCACTGCAAGAACAGGAAATAGTTTGTTAAAATTCACTCCAGATCCAAAGAAGGCCTTACCCTCTTCTACAGGGGATTACAAAAGTCACGGGTTTATAGGAAAGTAGGGCTGGAAGGGACCACATAAAGTCATCCAATTGAGCCCGCTACTTAAGACAGGATCATCCCAGACTAAATCATCCCAGCCACATGTCTGTCTAACCTGCTCTTGAAAATTTCCAGGGATGGAGGTTCCACAACTTCTCTAGGTAGCCTGTTCCAATGCTTGGCACCACTCCTATAATCAGGAAGTTCTTCTTAAACTCCAACTTAAATTTCCTCTGCTAGTTTGAAGCCATTGCTTCTAGTCCCATCCCATACAGCCAGAGAAAAGGCTATCTTCATTCTCTTTATAATTGTCCTTCAGGTATTTGAAGCCTGCTATCAAACCACCCCTCAGTCTTTATCTTCTCTATACTGAATAACTCTAGCTTTTTCAGCCCTTTCTTATAAATCATGCTTCCCAGGCCTCTAATAATTTTTGTTGCTCTCTGTTGGACTCTCTCCAATCTGTCCATGACTTTCTTGCAGTGTGAGGCCCTGTGGCAGGGCCCAGGGGAAAGAGGGTCCCTCTGCCCATCCCAATCTGTCCTGCCACCCTGCCCACTCAGAGTCCTCTCCATCCCACTTGCCTGCCATGCCTTTTTGAAAGAGTTAAATTGGAAAGTGTCTTATCCCTGCTCAACGCAGGACAGGACTCTTAAGGTAGGATCTCACCACCTGGCAGGGCTCTTGGTGTCAGATTGCAAAAACCGTCGAACTTTCAGGCTACTGTCTTGCCAGCTTCCTCTTCTCTACCTCTGTTCAGTCTCTCAGTAGCCTTGGATTCCAGGATACTTCTGGTTTTAGCCCCTTCCCAGGGCTAAAACCTGAGACCTGGGGCTTTGCAGCCACTCTAATTGATACCTTATACCACCGTAGCAGGCCCTTGGGCTCTGGAGCTGGCAGGAAGCTGGCAGCTCTGACCCACCTTGGGGAAGTGAATTAGGCAAGGTGCTGGAACAACCTGTTCTGCAACCTTCCCCATTTCGCCTTACAGCTGCTCGGGGTTACAGACACAATTCAATCGTAGGGCTTGTCCCACAGACCTACGATTTACCAGACCACAAATGAAAGGGAACATTGCAACAAAACTTCCGTCCATTTTGGGGCTACTGAATGTTCATACCAGCTTTCTTTCCCTCAGTCAGGGGCAATTTGGCCTTTTTTGTCCCAGCTATCTGTTTCATGTAGAGCCAAATCAAGTTGTAGTGAAGGTGTTTCACTGAAACATTTTGTAACTAGCAGGTCTGTAACCCAATTTCAAACCATCCTCAACAACTGCGCACCAGAATGAATGCACACTAGAAATGTATCAAAGACAGGAATACCCAACTACCTGTGGGGGTACATTTCTCACAAGAAAACCACTCTCTCTCCAATCTCTGTCCTGATCCTCAAAGGAAACTTAAAAAACACTTCCCAGAGATGAGCCTATGAACTCCACTTCATCAACCTCCTGGATACTAAAAATCATGGGCTAAATATAAACATTGGATTTATGGCACATTATAACCTGCCTGACATCTGACTCCCTAGGTATCTCTCCACTATTCATTCCCCTTCTCTCTCCTCCTCCCCCCCCACCCAACCTGTCTCTCACCCTTTGACTTCTCAATCTACATTTTCACTGACTACCTGTCTTGTATGCATACCAGACCAGACTCTGTCGTCTTTACTTTTTATTCCATCCAGGAAGAGCACACACCAACTGCTGAAACTTCCTTAGCCTGACGAAGGGTTTTTGAACCCGAAAGCTTGCTTAATAATTGTTTTCCAACTATTTAAGTTGGTCCAATAAAAGATATCAGATTCATGCAAAGAACCTTGTCTGACTAAACCATCCTCAAAGCATGTAGGGTCATTTCAGCCACCTTTTGCAACTGTTTCTTTTTTTTCTTTTAGCATCCATGAACTTTGCCCTTTATGCAGGAGTCATTGGTGGTGTTGTTGCTGCAATCATTGTCATTGGCATTCTGGGCTACTGCTGTTGCTGCCGGACCACAAAGGACAAGGACTATGAGATGACGTAAGTGCCTCTGACCAAAAGTGGGTAGGATACCCAAGGGCTTCCAAGCAGAGTCATCTTTTCTCTCTACCACAGACATACAATATCTCAGTGAGAGGAAGAATATGAAAAATGAGAGAAGGGTACAAAGGTTTTACTTGATGTGAGAGTAACACAAAAAAAATCTTAAAAAGCACTGTGCAGTTTTTGCCTCTAGCGTCCCCTTTTTAGATCTCATTTGGGATAGTCCCACTATTACTAACTCAGTTGTGCTCTCACCAGCTCCCTTTCCAGCTTTTGGTGAGAGTGCAGGAAGCCCTATGAATTCCTGAAGTCAAGGTCACTTAATCTTTTCTCCCAGCCTCTACAGTTGCTTTGCTTGCTGGACCTATTTACCAGGGTAGGTAGGACATGATAGACTCATATATCAGAAATGGGCTCCCAATGGTTGCTGTCACTGTAGAGCAGGGGTGGGCACAATACGTCCTGCCAGGCCATTCTATTTGGCCCACAGGGCCCCTCCAAAAGACAATTATTACTGGCCTGCTGCAGATTTATTACAGTCTAAGTGTGACTTGTAACTTCACCCTTACAGATGTACACAGAATTGGGGGAAGTGGGACTTAGCACATTTTATTTTGAATAGTGCACAGGTACTTAAAGCAGGACAATGGACCCATACCCTCTGTCAGAAATGCACACTTGTCAAGGGGCAGGGCTACCCTTGCGACCCTCAACAGCTCACCAAAAGTCGTTAAGTGACCCTCTGGCCAAAATAATTGCCCACCCCCACTGTAGAGAGTGGTATGGACAGACTGCATGCACTCTGCAGCTCTTCAAGAGGGTCTTACAGGAAATGGAAGTAGAGTGCTCACAGCTACTCCAGCCCCAACAGGAGGTGCGATAGCCATGGTGAAGCCCTTAGGGCAAGGGTGAGCAAAATATGGCCTGTGGGCTGGATTCAGCCCGTGAGGCTATTTTATCTGGCCTGTGGGGCCCTTAAAACATTGAGAAAATTAATATTTATCTGCCTTGGTTCCTGTAAAAATGTACAGGACCCAGGGGAAGCCCCAGTGGGCTCCCACAACAGCAGGCCCTGCCTGGCCCTGCCCCACCAGCTGGAAGCCCCAGCAGGGGCTTCTGGCCTGGGACCACATAGCTGCCCTGAGCAGGAACCTCAGGTAAGGGGCAGGGGGGGGTGCAGGGAAGGGCAGGGGAGGACCCCGGGCAGGGAAGGACCCCGGGGAAAAGTGGCCCCAGGGAAAAGCTGAGCACGGGGCAAAGTGGTCCCTCACTCGCCTCGTGGCCGGCGCCACACACTGCAGCTGCTTGCAGCCCGAGTGGGTCTGCCTGTGCCTGCTCAAGACAGCCCTGTGCAGGCTGTGAGCACCTAGAGCAGGGAGCGCCAGCCACAGGGTGGGGTAGGGGCCACTACTCCCCACACTCAGTTTTTACCTGGGCTCCTTCTCTGCTTCTTCCCGGCGTGGAGGAAAGCGGCCCCTCCCCTGTCTCGTGGCTGGTGCCCTGCTCTGCAGCCACTCACAGCCCCATGGGGCTGTCCTGAGCAGGCACAGGCAGCCCTAGGTGGGCTGTGAGTGGCTGCAGCGCGGGGCGCTCGGCACGGGGTGGGCGAAGGGCTGCTTTTACCCCCCCCGCGCTCCGCACCAGCTTGTAACCCTCCCCCACTGCCAGCCTGGACCTCGCACTGGCTCTGTGCAAGGCGACAGCAGCTGCAGCGCCCCCGCTTACCATGCCAGGCAGTGTTTGCCGCTGCCACCTGTGGGCTGCCCAGCATGCGAGCTCTGGGTAGCCAGCAGCAGCAGCAAACACTGCCCAGTGTGGCAAGCTGGGGGGCCACAGCTGCCGCTGCCATGCACAGTCCGGACGGGTGAGCCTGGAGCTAGTGCAGGGCCCATGTTGGCAGTGGGGGTGGGTTACAAGCTGGTGCTGAGCACGGGTGGGGGGGGGGGAAGGGGTCCCTCCCCAGCCTGTGCCCAGTGTCTCATGCTGTAGCTTCTTGCAACCTGCATGGGACTGCCTGCGCCTGCTCTAGACAGCCCCACGTGGGCTGCAAGCGGCTGCAGCAGGGAGTGCCAGCCATGGGGCGGGTGAGGGGCCACTTTTCCCCGCGCTCAGCACCAGCTTTTTTCCTGCTGGCAAGCAGGGGATCAGGGCTGTGCACTGCCCCCACCTGTACCGTGGGGCTGGGAGGCACTGGGAGTGAGCAGGTGTGGGAGCCAGGAGCACAGGGTCCGCACCAGTGTCCTGGGGCCAGTGCTGACGGGGCCCAGAGCAGGGTGGCAGGAGTGCGGGGTCCCAGCTGGCAGGGGCTCTATGGA